CGTCTCTATCAGATACATGAAAATATCACCAAAAGTAATGTCAGGGCAGTTCCTTGGACTGTCTGACCAGCCAAAACTTAACTGATACGGGTCCGGTTAACACTTTGTGCCCCTCGCATATTTCAATTTGTCTAAATATCGATTACAAGCAACAGAATGGAGACCTCAAAAGTTAGTCGACATAGAACTCTCTGTTGCTTCTGCAGACATTGTTGTTCTCTTGCTCGCCAGAGAACAAGAGAGGTTTTTTTAGCTAATTTTGCTTCATCTACAATTGACCATGTCTTTTTTAATATTGTCCTCCTCTTGTGTTTCCTTTAACAGGTACGATTGACCTTTGTATTCTGATTGTGTTATCCTTGTACCCCAACATTCACATATCAGGATTGTCACTATGACGACCCGTTGTCTACTGAAATATTCTTCAATGACATCCTGGTTAAAGCGGCTAGTGAGAACAAGCTTCATTCTACTGGTTAGGAGGAACCTAGTATCTTCAATGACTAAATACACAGTGATCTGCAAGCCTTCGTGTGTTTGCCAAGACAGAAACATTTTGTCCCTCGCGCTTCCACTGAAATTGCCATCTCTGCACACTGTGCTTGCTTTCCAATCTGACAAGTGTTTCAAAAATACATTTTCAAGCCAGTGGAACCGCTCATCATTTAAACTGGTGTAAGGCTGTAGGAACTCCTTCACTTGAAACTTAAAACCAAATAGCAAATTTTTAGTTGCATTTGCTAGTTTATGTTTGTAAACTACACCAGTGCAGAATTTGTCAAAATTTAAAAATGTCAATTCTATGACTCCGTGTTTCTACATGTTTTGGCGCTTAAGGTTTTAAAATAATTAAAAAAAGAGCACCTGTCGTGTTTGCAATAAAAAGTAAATATCCCAGGCATGAGCTGTTGCCCTTTGCAACCCATGGAACAGTTAACAAGATTATTTTGTTTATCTTTATCCATGCACTTAGAGTGTATTTTCTCTTTCACAGCGTATTTCTTCATAATTCTTCTATCACAGAGCTTAGGCCTGCATGGAAAGTATTTTGTGCTTAGCTTTTGTCAATTTTATTGAGCTGAATTCTTTCATTTCATGCAGGAGCTATTTCCACTGGGATTGCATCTTCGATGAATTGACAACTGACAGGGCATTGAAAATAACTGAAGCATTCTGTTGAACCAGATTTTTTCCTACTTGACTTGCTAGACAAATTGCACAAGAAACTGCAAATACTTTATCTATTGGTGGGCAATAAGACCAAATTGGCGAGGTTGAAGAAATGCACTGGAACAGTGACTGGACTGCTGATAGTATGCCGTGTAAAGAGTCAAATCCATTCTCACACCAAAAAATGAATTGATGTAAAGTGGGCCCCTCCCTTTTGAAAACGTTAAACATTCAACGTATCACCTTGTTAAGCTGCTGTGCAATATTTTGATAGCTGTGCAGAAACCTCTTTCCTAGGCATAAATACCAGTAAAACGAAAATTTCATTGATAAGAAAATTGTCTACTGCTTTTGTGTGTTCTAATGCTACCGTTGATCATCTAGCTTTGTTAAGATCCCAGTAGTCCAGAGGCACAAGGGAGAGCATTGCCACCCAAGGAGGGAATTAATTTTGATCACTGACTTAATGTAAATCGTATTTATCATTGACTTTTCCAAACTTTGTTTTCCGAGTATTGATTAGTCCCAGACAACCTGGAACTGTGAATTAGTCTAGTTTTGATAATTAAGAACTCCGTAGAAAATTGTGGAACATTTGATTATGACGTGATGTAATACAATATGATAAGAATAGAATTAACTTACGTAAGCAATACTAAGTTTTTTGAATATTCTCGAATGAAGATCGAAAGGACACAGGAATAATTCTAAGGAAACACAAGTTCCCCACAACATCAACAAAAAGAAATATCTATAGACTTTGCCTTATTGTAACTGGACAAGATTTTCGATGCTAGAATTTGCAGTGGCAAACTATATTTTCTTTGGTGCACAACATAGCTTTTGACTCTAGAATCCAGTAACAACACAGAATCACTGAACATTTAGGCTGAGCTTGAGTTGGTGGAACCTTTAAGCTTTTTTCTATCAATTATGATCAAATTGCAACTTAAATAATTGTACAAAACATTTTTCAGACTAGTCTGATTACTCATATTTGAAAGAGAGGTTAAACAGGCAACATTGATGATTATGATAATATATTGTTGTGGTTACTGATTTGTAAATTTCTAAAATATCACAGTTTGGCCTTGGGTACTTTCTGTTGACATATCTGCTGTGAAATGTGATTTATTTGTTCTACATTCTATGACCATTGAAATATCACCTATTTCAGTTTGTTATAATTACAGATGGAGATATATGATAGGGATATAGGCCCATCTGTACAATTTTTACAGTGTTTTTCTGTTTCAATAATAACAACAATAATAATAACAATAGAAATGATAGAAGTTAAAAATGAAAAGCTAACAATGAAAGTAATAAAGGATAAAAATCATTTTTAGTGGATCTGAAGTGAACTAGTTGCTAAAGAAATGTTCTTTTAATCGATGTTTGAATTGAACAATTGATGTTTAATAGCGGATGCCAATTGGGATGTCATTGAAGCAAGAAGAGCCTTGGAAACGAAATGACTTTTTTGCAGCATTCGTTCAGACCTTTGGAAGGCAGAGGGTTGATGAACTTTCTCTTGTGTTATAATTGTGGCCCACTTTCTGGATATATGACGCAAGATTTGATATGGCTGTTTCTTGCAGGCATCTAAAGATCTGTATCGCTGCCTTGAATTTCTTATGATCTTGAATGCTCATGAGCCCACATTCTTTGCTGCCCTTTGGCTGGTTTTTGATGATCTAAATTGTGCTCCTTTGCAAATTGTGTTCATATTTGTTCCCCATCGTGTGTCAGACACTTCGAGCACAGGAGTTGAACAATATAGTATGTTAGGGGCAACAATAGCTTTGTAAACTGATTCAGCTGCAGAAGTTGATAGATAATGTCTCACTTTCTACAAGAGCCTTAATCAAACAGCCACGCTCTATAGAGTCTTTTGAAGATGGTCATTCATGTTAAGTGATGGATTCATTGTCACTTCCAAAATACTTATATCTACTTACAAAATTAATGAGATGTTCTTTGTATCAGACTCTCAAATTGCTTTGTGAATAAAGTCTTTTTGCAGTTCCAAACAGCATTTATTCAGTTTTCCCTTTTTTCAAGTTTATTATCAATCTGTTATTGTCTAGCCATTTAGCAATGTTTAGCAACCCAAGCTGTGGCAGGTTCGGATATGCTGCAGACATATCAGTCCATATCATTGTGTTGGGTTCCACCCACTGCTGGATGATCGGCAGTAATGTAGCTTGGTCGCTTGCAGGGACCGGTACCAGTAACCCTTTCTTTGTATCTTCCTCATACCCGCCCAGTATCCGTGTAGGTGGCCATGCTCGTAATTTCTTCGCACAAACAATGTGTTCATTTCCCCTTAGACCCCCTGGGTGGTTCACAAAAGGCTGACAGCCACGTCTCGACAAAACTGATTCTAGTCAACAATTGTGTGCCCTCCACTTTATTTTAAGCTCCCTCGTCGTCTGCAAGACAGAAAGCCCCCTCGAGCATCCTGCATATGTAGCCGACAGGTATGTCAACCTGCCACAGCTTCAAATGCCAGCCCTCGAAAAAGCTGCCTTTTCGGATGTTTATCGTTTTTCTATAATTTGGACATCTCCAAATGACGCCATCAATGCTGCGTCTGTACAGACCTTCTCTAAAAGGTACCTGGCGTACATCACACTCTTGTTCTGTTGAAAGCAGCCTATGTTGCCTGCACAATGCAATTGTAGCCTCCTCGTTTAGAATAACTAAATCCTGTCCTTCCTAAATTTCACAAAAATTTCCACATTTCATCAAAATCTAAGGTAAGCCTAATCGAACAAAAGTGGATTTGATATGAAATAGACCATATCATCAACTCCAACTGTTAAAGGGCACAGAGGGCAAAATAAATGTCAAGTAGAAACCTGGTCTTGCCATGCAAGCAGCTTGACAAGACCAACTAATCACCCAAGCTTCTTGATTCAATTGAATCAAGAAGCTTGTGTGAATAACGTTGTCGGCGAGACTGGTTTGTTGTGCCTTCTTCATCAACTACTGCTCTATGTTCTATTATTAAGCCCCATTCTGCTATTTCTGGAACAATACACATTTTTCTTAAATAAACAGTTCAGTTTCATAATTATCCTCGGTTTCAATTTGGGACGTTTCAGCATGTGCATGGCCTAACAGGCCTAAATTTCCAAGTGATGACTCTTACATTGTATTGGTTCACAAACTTTTGCATACACAGTCTTCTGCTTAGTGCTGATACTAACGCATTCAAACTTATTCTTGATGAGATGAAACAGGAAATGAGATTAATTAAAAAAGATGTAGCCGAAGTGAAGGCCAGTCTTGAATATTCTGAAGCGAAATGCGAAGACTACCTCACAGTTAAAGAATATTTATTGCTTTGTTAGGTTCTATTTAGAATATTATTCCTTAAACATTTTTTAACACTGTACCATATATTCATTTTATGCTAATTCTTCATCGATAGTTGGCTTTATTAGCCTCTTTATAGCTATTAGACTTTTATCTAGTACGCCTAAACAAGTTATATATTATATATTATCCATTATATAATATATATTACATGTTATAAATTATATAAAAGATCATTACAAGACATTAAACTTCGAGTCCCAGAGACCGCGATACTAGACATTCAAAGTACAGTAAACCAACTGCTTTTAAACAACAATTCTCTTAGGTGCTACCATTCCCGAAACAGATAAACCAAACTTATCTGTATGGTAAAATCGTTGCAAATAACTTAAAAACGATTCAAGGGACGCAGAAGCTACCAGGGGATACATACGTTCTGGCAGCAACTGAAGATTTGTAACATAGGTAACTGAAGATTTGTTCGTCTTCTCAAGGAGTATAACCCGCATCCCTCATCCATAAACCGCCAAAAAGTACCTAACAGATCACAACAACAATTAGCAAGGCGAATCAAAGCAATATAAGACATAAACAGTAATCAGGTGACAGTAGCAAGATGAGAACAGCTATGCGCCATGCTACACCAGAAGGTCTTGTCTGTATGCTTTGGACTGTTATTGGTCTGATGCAACTTGTGAAAAAGGAGCACCAAGCATGATGTGTATAGAAATCAGTCATTTCTTTTGGCTAAATTTTTGGAGACAAACGTTTGTTGACACTCATAATAAAACTTAATGGATTTGTTTACCTCACAGTTGGCTGGATGGTCCTTGACATGCACCATTCCATTTCATACTTTCTGCTCTTAAAAAGCGCCTTGTCTATTTTCCTTACAAACTTCAAGTACTTGCAAGCCACATCTGTATAGAGGATGCTGGAACCACAGTCTGCAAGAGTATTCTCCTCCAAGAAATAGCTGTAGCTGAACAGCTCACCTCTAAACATATTAACGGCCTTCTGTGCGATTCTATGGCGGCAAGAAATCATATCGATTCCAGTTTCATCAAGGTTCTTGAACTTTTGTGACTGATTTTGTGCTGCCTTCGAAAACATTAAGCCAAATAGACTGCTCTCGGTGGTCTGCCAGGAGAAAAGAATAACAAACAAAAGCTTTAGATTGATCTTCAAAAGAGATATAACATATTTATTTGACATTCAATCCACTGTGAATTTTCTTTTTTTAAAGAGAAAGGATAATCATTCTGCACTTTACCCAATATTGAAATTTTAATTTTCAAATTGGATGCAACTCTTTGTAAGATTGAATAAATTTAATAATTACAATGAATTTACTTACCAGCAGCCACCCAGTTTGAGAGTCACGGTAAATTCCTTGCAAAGCATCATCATCTTCTTTATTATCACAAAAGAATGCACCTTTGTAATAGGATGTCCTTCTTTGCCTAAATGAAGGAAGGGTAGAAATTGCAAGATCCTAACAGCCAACACCTTTTAGTAATCGATGATAATTACTCTAAATGTCAAACTGTGCAAAGCAAAATACTTTGCCTGTAACCAAGATGATTTGGTAATGGTAGATGATATACCATGTGTTGCAGCCACAATTTTTACATCAAATTAGAAGAAAGGGCTACCTGTTGCAAGTGTTATAATGAGTAAGATGAATGTCAAGCTGCTAGATTTATTTTTGAGAGCCTAAGAACCTTTGTATCTGTAAAACTTGTAGTTTCTGTCAATATCATTCATTTCCATTTGGCAAACTTGAAATTGAAAATATTCCCACTCTTTGTAGCATCTTGAAAATGCTGTCTTGTTGATTGTTCCTTGCTAAAAGATTCAAGTGTTTCATATAAATAATTTCCAAAATCATAATACGGTAAACCTAACGACAAAAATTATTGGACATAGTTTTCCTAATGGGTCATTCCATGTCAAATCACCAAGAAAAAAATGGAAATGTCACCCACCATCTCAGATTTTGCCAATTTTCATATATCATGTGCCAACTGATAAGAATAGCTCATTCTGAAAATTTCAGACCATTATCTTTAGTGCTTTTTTAAATATCCGTATTTTAATTTTCAAGAATTTTGTGGTAAAATTACCAAAATCCGCCATCTTTGATTTTCATACAGAGGACAACTAAAAACTAAATTCTAATATCTGAAAAGAAAATGACCAGAACATATCAAAATGAACTTATTTATGTAAATTCAGCTATGAGGAATTCAAAAAGGACATCAAAATGAATATCTGACAGATCTGAAAGATTCTATTTATAGAAATCTCAGCAGGGATTGAAAAATTGAAAGATTCCGAAAATACAATTGTGTAAAATTTCATTTTGGAATTTCATGATGTTTGACAGGTAGCACCAGAATGAATTTTTGCAGTTAAATTTGAGGTACATTGAGGTACCAAATCATTGAATTTTGACTTGGTGTCTCTTCTTGTTCAAGAGCTATAAGCAGCTAAAGTAAACTGAAAATATTGTCAAATTTCTTGTGCGAAAGTTCCTTTTTTAATGTAATGTGTATGTTTGTAGACATAAAACTAGCAATATTTGAAGTTCAATCAACTCATTCTGTGTACACAACTAGCAAAACATTCATATAAATTGAAGATTTGTTATCTATCACTTTTTTACAGTGGATAATGTACAGTGGACCACACCCACTTATGGGTGCGGCAAAATAGAACACCATGGAAAGGCTGTATTACTTAAGAAATATTCAGACTTTACTCGAAAAGGTTGCAAATAAACACTTTTTCCTTGAAGCTACAAGAAATCAAAAGCACAAAATCTTTTTGATAGTGCTGAAGGTAAAAAGTTTGTAGAAACAGGTATAAAATTACAGTCTAATTTAATTTCATCTTGAATACATGAATATACCAAATCGTAAGTTTTTCAAAAGTGTCCAAGTTCTTATTGGCTCATTTTCGTAAGAAAAAAGTAATGTCTCACAGGCTCGTCATTATTTCATTGATTTTCGTGAGATCTTTATCTGCAATTTTATATTGTCGCCCAGTTGCTGTGAAGGGTGTTTCTATGATGGCAGCAATATTCAATGAAGGGACAAAGCAGGTATCGTCTTGCTCAGGCCAGCTGTAAGACCTGGATGGCAAATGTGGATGCATGAATTTGATTTTAAAATCTTCATTTTCTTTGTTTTCTTCCTCTACAAGACCAATCCAAAGTTGATCATCATAGAAACAAACAACAAAATTGGCTGTCTTTGGCTGTAAATTTGGTTTCGCTTTTGTTTTGTTTTTTCCCAGGACCAAATCAAATTGCAGTGCATACGTCTTGTCTATAGAGACTCGCTTAGCTCCTATCAGCTTATCTGACAGTGGCTCAAAATGATGGAATCGTCTAGTTCCTGGTAGCGTGTTTGCACTTTCGAATCGTAGCTTTAGAAAACTTCTTGTGGCTTCGATTTGGCCCTCAGAAAGAAAAACAGCCTGTACGTTTATCACTTGCTCCTTGCAATATTCGTACATTTGTTGAGCCGTTAAAATTTGATCAGAGAGGGGTCGCTGAAGACTTGCTCTAGCGGCTGATCTTTTTATTGCCCCTCCTATACCGTCACAAGGGGACTTGCCGTGACTTGTTGCAAAAAAGGACCAACTGCATTCTATGCCAAAATCTTTTGAGTGATTGCAGACATTCACAAAGTTTTTGCAGTTTTTATACTGGGCTGCACACCCGTCGGAAAAATAAAATATTTTGCTAATTGCGGCAGGTATACTTTGTTTTATAATACTTATCGTTTCTTTTACCACATGGTACACGAAACTAGTGTCATGGTTCAAATCATTTGATATAAAACATAATGATTTTTCTGAAAGAATACTGTTGCTGCGAAAGTATATAACCACCGGGTGTAAGGAGCAAGACTGCTGGTTCCAGTGATAAGACTGGATCTCGTCCTGGATTACAAATCTATAGTTTTCTGCAAAGTCCAGAAGAACAACGGTTTCATCATCCTTCAAATTCTCTTTACAATGTTTCAAATACTTCGATTGAGCTTTCGCTATAAAAGAGTGGGATGTAAGTTCATTTAATTTTTCGACTAGCAACAGAATAAACTCATTTAAAGAAAGGCATTGCCTTAGAAGTTCAGAACGATCTGTACTGGTCCATTGATAGAATTCAATTGTTTCTTCAACAAATTCCGGCAAAAGTTGTTCATTGAGGTAGTCCTCCAAATCTGATCTAGACGGGCAGTTGATACAACGATGAATCATGCACTCTTTTGACTCTTGGTTACAAACAACCATATCTATTAACTGGTGACGATCTTTTTCTAAATTGACAGCGTCAAGGAGAAGTGTTACATTTTGATGGATTGTGCAAACACACACTGATTTTGTCCCTGGAGACCCAGCCAAAACACACCATTTAGGTCGTAAAGAACAAAATTTAGAAAAGCCTACTTTTATTCCAGGATTGTGTGTATGGAATGCTGCATAAAGTTCCTTCAAGTCACAAAGAAGAAGCCGTTTCTGCATATGGACATTCCTTTTTATGCTCACAAAATCCTTTTTGCCTGGCATCTGTCTGCTGTATTCATCATCTGAATAAAAATTAGTTACCATCTTCTGCACATCATCTGGTAAAGCCTTACCTTTTTTTCGGGTTGGTAACTCTAGAATACCTTTCTGGAGGGTAACGTCACGTGCTTGTCTAACCATATACTCTGTTACACCGAACTCTTCCATAACCTTTTGGACAGACCATGATAATGGGGCAAGTGTAAGAATTTGAATTTTCTTACTTCTTTCCGAAATTCGTATTTTGTCCTTCATTAAACTGATTATTTCGTCAAAATCCTTTGCCTTTCTTTCAGTCTCACAATAATCGCTTTCAGCTTCTTCACTGTCCATCAGTTGATCGGGAATGACGTCGATAGTTTCTGCAACAACATTTAAGATTTTTGATTGCTTTTCGGTCAGTTTGGCTTTTACTTGGTCGAGTTTGCGTTTGCCATAAGAAGCTCTTGAATGCTTCGGAACAGAATGCAGCTTTATCGGACTAACGTCAATATCTTCAAGAGTTATGTCAAGGTCTTCTTTCTGTTGTTTCCAAGCTCTTTCCGGAAAGCATACATCTGGATCATTATCATCATCATTCCCTTCTGAGGTTTTCAATCTTTCAGACATCTCTCTCCGACAAGTTGGGCATAACTTTTGTCCAGGTACCACGTAAATATTGATTTTATGATAGCTTTTCGAAGAAGCTATTGACACTTCCCTCAAAGAGCCTTTAACAGGATTCTTGTGCTTTTGGAAGGGGTCGCAGCACTTTTTCTGAAAAGCGCCGTACTGCGTTAAAATTGTTTGTTCGTGATGGTGACAAATTGTAAATTCGGGTCCTATTTCCAGACCTGTTCTTAAAGAAATTAACTCCGCTTGCTCTTTAGTCAAAGAGTTGTTTGTTTTTATCCCAACTGATCTTGTGTAGAACCGAGAGTGACACTCTTCTTGCAGATGACTGCCAATTGAACACTTTTCCAGAAACTTACTTACAGACATTTTTTCAAACGCGATAGAAATCTTTCTGCCTCTCGTTACTGAAACTTGACAAAACAATATGAGCAAGTCAGCTCTTGCAAATAATTATGTTTCTTTTACCTTACCTACGGGAGTTCGGAGACCTCATTTCCGTTTTGAATGGAAATAAGGAAGCACTAACTGGTTACAAACTGATGCTTGCAGATTCCATCATGCTGATAATTATCACTTTACCACCATAAGCGGATACTAAGATTATGTTTCACTGACGTGATTTTTCAAGGTCCGTAAATCAAGCAATTTTATTCGTCGTAGCTTTTCAACACTAAGCAATATTTCATTTGCAACACTGAATAATTTAGAAATTATGTTTTAAAATTTTAACTCAATTTAAACATCAATAAGATACAATTACTGATAGCATCTATTAAGCAATATTGTAGTTAAGTTCCCGTCAACAACGAATATTGCCGCCATTTTATGAAAAGATTTATAGGTGGAGATAGCCAACTTTCTGCAACACAACAAAACTGATAAGCAATAGAAAATTAGGCTAACATATCTGCTAACATTTTGTTTAGTTCGAAATGACATATTCTACCATTTCTAGTTACATAGAAACACCCTTAACAGCAACTGGGCGACAATATAAAATGGCAGACAAAGATCTCACAAAATCAATGAAATAATGACGAGCCTGTAAGACATTATTTTTTTCTTACGAAAATGAGCCAATAAGAACTTGGACACTTTTGAAAAACTTACGGTTTGGTATATTCATGTATTCAAGATAAAATTAAATTAGACTGTAATTTTATACCTGTTTCTACAAACTTTTTACCTTCAGCACTATCAAAAAGATTTTGTGCTTTTGATTTCTTGTAGCTTCAAGGAAAAAGTGTTTATTTGCAACCTTTTCGAGTAAAGTCTGAAAATTTCTTAAGTAATACAGCCTTTCCATGGTGTTCTATTTTGCCGCACCCATAAGTGGGTGTGGTCCACTGTACATTATCCACTGTAAAAAAGTGATAGATAACAAATCTTCAATTTATATGAATGCTTTGCTAGTTGTGTACACAGAATGAGTTGATTGAACTTCAAATATTGCTAGTTTTATGTCTACAAACATACACATTACATTAAAAAAGGAACTTTCGCACAAGAAATTTGACAATATTTTCAGTTTACTTTAGCTGCTTATAGCTCTTGAACAAGAAGAGACACCAAGTCAAAATTCAATGATTTGGTACCTCAATGTACCTCAAATTTAACTGCAAAAATTCATTCTGGTGCTACCTGTCAAACATCATGAAATTCCAAAATGAAATTTTACACAATTGTATTTTCGGAATCTTTCAATTTTTCAATCCCTGCTGAGATTTCTATAAATAGAATCTTTCAGATCTGTCAGATATTCATTTTGATGTCATTTTTGAATTCCTCATAGCTGAATTTACATAAATAAGTTCATTTTGATATGTTCTGGTCATTTTCTTTTCAGATATTAGAATTTAGTTTTTAGTTGTCCTCTGTATGAAAATCCAAGATGGCGGATTTTGGTAATTTTACCACAAAATTCTTGAAAATTCAAATACGGATATCTCAAAAAGTACTAAAGATAATGGTCTGAAATTTTCAGAATGAGCTATTCTTATCAGTTGGCACATGATATATGAAAATTGGCAAAATCTGAGATGGTGGGTGACATGGCCTCGGTGAATTGACATGGAATGACCCTAATAAAGAATTTTTTCATATCAACGTAATCTATTCTGTATTTCTATTGTTGTACCATCATGACTAACTTTTTATCAATTTTAAGCAAATGCTCAAAATCGAATTCTTAAATTGCAAAAAGATGAAAGCATTACCCTACTCCATTCTTTAGAACTATTTTCAAAGCTTTTCAAGAATGCCGACTCAGATGTTTCTGACATGAATGCCTTCAAATTGTCAAAAAACTTCAAAAGGTCTTTGTCAATTAAGTATGTGATGTTATCTTTGCTACCAGGCAAATAATTCAGTAAGTTTGTTGTACCGTACATTGGCTTTAACTTCGTTTTGGCCCTCTGCCACATTTCCTTCACTCTGTTCATTGATTCGCCTGTTACTGGCAACGAAATTCAAGGTGTGGTTAACGGTACGGTGTGCAAACCCAAGCTGTGGCAGGTTCGAAAATTCTGTAGACATATCAGTCCATATCGTTGTGTTGGGTTCCACCCATTGCTGGATGATCAACAGTAATGTAGCTTGGTCCCTTGCAGGGACCGGCACCAGTAAGCCTTTCTTTGTCTCTTCTTCGTACCCGCTCAGTATCCACTGCTCTCTCACAAGGTGGCCACACTCGTACTTTCGTCGCGCAAACAGACTTTCATCGATTTCAACAATGTGTTAATTTCCCCCTAGACGCTCTGGGTGGTTCACAAAATGCTGAACAGCCACGTCTCGACAAAACTGATTCTAGTCAACAATTGTGTGCTCTCCACTTTATTTTCAGCTCCCTCATCGTCTGGAAGACAGAAAGCCCCCTCGAGCAGCCTGCACTTGAAGCCGACAGGTATGTCAACCTGCCACAGCTTCAAATGCCACACCCTCGAAAAAGCTGCCTTTTCGGATGTTTATCGTTTTTCTACAATTTGGACATCTCCAAATGATGCCATCAATGCTGCGTCTTTACAGACCTTCTCTACAAGGTACCTAGTGTAGATCACACTCTTGTTCTGTCAAAAGCAGCCTGCACCATGCAATTATAGCCTCCTCGTTGTCTTTCAATCGATGCCAAATTTCCATCAAGTTGAAGGACTCGAATTCTTGCATTGTTGGCAGTTGTAGAACCTGAGCTTGAGCCATCATAATGTAAAAGCACTTAAGTATACTTGCAACGCACTCTATATCATTAGGTGTCTCTATGAGTGGTCTCCAATCAAAAGAACCCATGGGGTGATGCTCAGGACGGTGGTGACTAACATTTTCTGTATGTTCATTCAAATGAATTGCAACTTGGCTTATCAGGAAGTTTGACTAAATTGCTGACATACTTTTCTATCAAAGTATGTGTGGTACCATACTAACAAATCTTACATTGGCAGTGTTAATAATGTTTTAGATATACTTCCATCCGATCTCCATTTGCTTAAACTACTTTTTCTGGGTAATATACGATGAATGTAGACAACACAATAAGATTCTACCTCATCATCATTACCTCTGTCGATGGTTTTGGGATTGCAAGCGAAAAGCAGATGGTTGTCTTGGTAGCTTGAAAATCATTGATAGTGAGTTACTGCTTTTTGTTAATTTTTGACAATAAAGTCTGCTTGCAAAGCATATTGCTGATTTTTGATAGAATTGTCATCTGTTCCAATTGACGGTTGAATATAGGGGGCTGATTATTTTTCTGTGTAGGGGCATATGCAATGCTTTGTGACAGAGAACAAAATTCAACTTTGAGAGAAAATAAACTGTATTGCAGTTTGATTTCCAAGTATCATTTTCCAAATCATTATTATTATTTCGGATAACATGAGAAGCGCAGCGCATGGGTAACTGATCAGTGTGTAGTATTTGCCAAACTCAAACAAGCATGCTTCAGTCGATTCGGGAATCAAGAACCAACTCCGCAACCAGGTCGTAGAACAAATTTCTTTCACTCGTTTTTATACTTATCTAAGTAATCATTGGCCTATTAATTAATTTCTCAGGTGCAATCTAGCATGATGTCTGGCAACGAGCCTTCTACTCCAGGGCCTAGCGGTAATGAGGCCTGCTCAGGTGATGCTGCAACTCTGCAATCTTTACAACAGAATATTGCAAGCATGGTCATGGTCATGCAACAGTTTATTGAATCATTTAGCCAACAAGGCCACAGAAATAGCCAAAATATTGATAGCCAACAAGGCACAAGCATGGAATTACGCCATGACGAGGATACTGCTTGCTCTATAGGTCCTAATAATTATTCTGATCTTGACCTCGGGTCCTCTTCTGATGAAGACAACAAGCCTCAGAAAAGAAGGAGGCTCACCTCACCAATTAATTATGGGGCAGCATCTGATATTGATGCTCTTTTAGCCCCAGCATCCAGCACAAAACCCAAAAATACATCTGGGGATATTCTTCAGGAGATCAATGAAGAAGTGTATGGTGAGGAATGTTTAGCAGCCTCAGTGTCTAATCAGCTTGCTGGCATAGTTAATAAACGCTGGCAAACAAAAATGCCATCAGAAAAGCTGAAGTCACTACTGGCAAAATAAAATAGACCAGAAAACTGTGAAAAATTAACAGTTCCTCGTGTTAACTCACAAATTTGGAACAACCTAGCTAAACAACACAAGATGTCTGATGTGAGAATGTCACATGTTCAAAAGTCAATGGTTAAAGCTTGCATTGCTGTTGTAAGATCATTAGATCGACAGTGGTAAGGTTGAGCATAGATTTCGGTGGAGCAGCTAAGCCACAGCTCTACTTGGCCATTCTTAATACGAAATGACCCTTATCAGCTTAACCCTGCAATTAAGAAAGAGTATTCTGACCTTTGCTCCTCATCAGCCCCTGTATCAAGCATGCTATTTGGCGATGACTTGAATAAGCAGCTTGAAGTCCTGACGAAAAGAGCATCTCTCTCTGCAGTAACCACTAGGCCTGCAGCCTCAGTTTATCGCCAACCTTATGACAATCGCAATGTTAGAAAGTCTTTTTTAGGGCGAGGCCAAAAGTTCAATGCCTTCAGGAAAAAGCAACCACAGTACAATGTTGGACAGAACAGGAAATGATTGATGCCCTATCAAATATCAAGTACATGGTAAGCAACTATGATACCATTGTAGAGTCATTACAAAAATAGTTTCAAATGCAAGCTGATAGGTTTGAGGCAGGCAGACTAAGACATTTTGCCAATGAATGGCAAAAAATCACATCTGATAGGAATATATTACAGATAGTAACAGGAGAATTCATTATGACCCCAACTAAACAGGAAGTTATAAGTACCTACTATGACAATGGTACTGGGGGAAAAATTGAAAGTGAGATTAAATCTCTTTTCAAAAAGGGTGTCATCACTAAATGTGCTGATAATTCAGACCTAGTTAGATCTCCCATATTTTTGCGAGACAAAAAGGATGGTAAATTCAGACTAATTTTGAATTTGAGACACCTAAATGAATCCATAGCCTATCATCACTTTAAAATGGATACACTCAAGACAGTTATCCAGCTTTTAACTAAAAACTGTTTTCATCTATTACACAGTACCCATACACAAAGACTTCCAAAAGTACCTTGCATTTGATAGGATGATGAAATTTAGGTATGCACATGCTTACCAAATGGCTTAGGACCTGCTCCAAGACTATTCACAAAGCTATTAAAGCCTCCAATTCATAAGTTACACAAGGCAGGGCACATTCTATCTGCATATATCGATGACATCTATCTACAAGGATATAGTTTTGAAGAATGTGCTGCTAATGTTGCAGACACAATCATATGTTTTGATAAGCTTGACAAGTATCACTGTTAGACCAAATGCTGATAAAATAGGCAAGGTCACTGACACTTGCAAGAGATTGCTAGCTAAAAATTATTGTACCATTAGAGAACTAGCAAGTGCTATAGGCTTGTGTCTTGCTTCCCAAGTATGGCACATGGCCATCTTTACTAATGAGTGTTGGAACACAACAAAGCATTCAAAGGGGAGTTTAATAAACATACTATTATCTATCCTATGGCTACTGCAGAACTGAAATGGTGGGTGTCAAAAAAGGGTTATAAATGTATCTCTCAACTCCCACCATCTATTGTAATCTCCATTGATGCCTCAATGACTGAATGGGGTGCTATTTAGAATGAAGCTAAAATTGGAGGCCATTGGGATGACCGCGAAGCAAGACATCATATAGATTATTTAGAATTACTTGCAGTGTATAATGCTCTCACATCATTCTTTAAGGATGTCAAATCCATATACATTCGCATATATCCAGACAATTCAACAGCTGTTTGCTCAATAAATAATATGGACACTAGCCACTCACCCAATTGTAACTCATTAGTAAGAAAAATTTGGCTTTGGGCCATTGAGAGAGACATTTGGGTCAGCACTGCCCATATTCCAGGGGTGCTTAAACATAGGAGCTGATATAGAATCTAGGGAAAGGCCCAAAGATTCAGAGTGGAAATTGGATAGAGGTGTTTTTGAGAAGGCTGTCAAACATTTTGACTTCTATCCTGAAATTGACCTATTTGCATCACATCATAATTTTCAGGTTGATAATGATGTCTCATTCACACAAGACCCTGAAGCTCATGCCATAGATGCATTTTCTATGAGCTGGATAAACAGGCACAGGGTCTCTGTGTTTGCCCAGATTGGCCGACACAGAGCTGGTATCCAATGATAACAAAGATGTTGCAAAGAAAGGTACCCCTCCATTGCACATCAAGCACATCTAGAGACTACTGAAATTTCCAAACTTTCCAAAGATAACTCATCCTTTGCACAAAAAACTGGATCTGCTAATTTTCCTCTTGTCTGGAAACATTTGAATTCTTCTGAATTGTCTACAGAAAGTAAGGAAATGATCCTGTCATCATGGCGAAAGGGAACTGTTAAACAAAATGAAGTATACCACAGAAAATGGGCACAGTTTTGTCTGGAAAATGGCATCAGCACACATTCTTCTAATATCGACCATGGCATAGAATTCCTCACATCACTTTATAAAGGTGGATTAAAATACAGCAGCCTCAA